AAGTGACAAAGGCTGTTGTGTCATCTTGCATCAAATACAAATTCACATCGTCGCGCACCATATACACTCCAAATGACATACGTAATGACAAGATGCACACGTATGGAGTATCTTTGAACTATGTGAAGGCTTTAAGATCTTGTGAGGAAACTTTAAAAATGATTAGGGGTGATCTAACCGATTCATTTAGTAAGATATTGAGATTCTTTTCCATGTTGCAGCAAACAAATCCTAGGACGATCACAGGACTAAAGCTTGATGGTCACAATAGGTTCAAATATTTATGGCACTTGGTACATCAATTCGGGAATGAGAACATTGTAGTTTTGTTGTTGTCGTCAATGTCACGTATCTAAATAGACATTATGGTCATAAGATTCAAATAACAACATATTCATACTTGCTTTTGACATTGGGGATAATGAGAATAACAGCTCTTAGTCATGGTTTTGAAAACTTGAAGAAAGTCTATGGGGATAGAGAAGGGTTGTGTTTTGTATCGGGTCATCACAACAGTATAAAAAATGTAATTGAACTTGTCATGGGATTTCTTCGTATGATCTCCTACAAAATCTGAAATCACATTACGAAAAGTCAGGTCACAACATGACGCAAACTTTCAATTCAATCGTTCGCGCTTACGTCTTGTCGGAATACAAATATAACATGTAACAGCTCGACGCAATTAATGAGAAGATAATGGGTTACCTGGTAATATACTACATATTATCTTCAATATATATTCATATACATACATTTATAACGCTATTGTAAAATATATGATATGCGTCATTATGTTTTTGTTTGTAGGACGATGTTGGACCTGAGAAATGGTCACGATTCCACATGCCGCAAACACGTATTTCACAATGATATCGAATAGAGTGGAATAAGTTAATACAGTCACAAAGTCTCCCAAGAACTAACCTCTTATAGCTTTTTGGAGTTATTGAACATAGGGAGACAACGCAAGGTACTTTCACGATCTTGTCAAGAAAGTGCAAGAAGAAGTTGAGGAAAATGAGCACAGATATGAGAAATTTGACGGTATTGTCAATTGCTGTGATTTAAATTTTATATTTGTGACCTTGAACATCTTCTATGTGACCAGGGGCGGATCCAGGATATTAAGTCAGCTAGGGCGATCGCTGATGATAGCAATAATAAGATTGTTTTTTAATATTTAATTAAATAATGTTAAAAAAATTTCAATCAATATATGAATACACTAAAACGTGAAAAATTCATATATATTTGAAAATATAATCCAATAAATATAAAATAATAAGAAAAAAAATACATTTTTCAATCATACATGTATGATTATGTTTCAAGTTTTTTACGAACTCAAACGAAACAGGTTATATGTAAAACATGATTAAATGGTAAAATACAATATAAAATAATAAGAAAAAACATACATTTTTCAATCATACATGTACGATCAAGTTTTAATTTTTTTACGAATTCGAACGAAGCAGTTTATACGTAAAGCATGATTAAATGGTAAAGACAAGCTCCGAGTTTAGGTGAAGGTTATGCAAAATTTTGAAAATAATGATTTTTGAAACTAAAACTATTTTTCACCTCAAAAGAAAAAGTANAATAAATTATTAAAAGAAATTATTTTGAAAATGAAAATTAATAATATATAAATGTTTAGTTATTATTTATTGTAATGAAAAATTAAACAAAAAGTAGAAAAGCAAAGAATTGAACCTCTTACCTCTAGTGAACATAATGACCCCTTTACCATAGGAGCTACCCTTCTTATTTAATTTTTTTTTTTCGGGCAGATCTAGCACGGGCGTCTGTCGTGGCTCGTCAGGTGCTGGATCCGTCCCTATATATGACCCACTTATTAATTATAGAATTTGAATTTCATATATGTGACATGGATTATATGGACTGTCACATGTATGTCAAATCTGTGACGTGAGTAATTGTAGTTTTAAATT